TTTTCTATGTATTTCTTTTTTTCTTTTTCAATAGAATTTTAGAAGCGTTCGTGACCCGAGGTACCACTGTATATCCAATGTATGCACTGGAGTAGATTGCAGATGCTCTTAATAGTTTACTGGGATAACATCGTTTTGCAGCTAATACAATACAATGGAACCCCTCTATGATTTTTTCATCTTGCATCTATTTCAATGAAGGCAGATACACTTCTCTGTTCTGCAGGATGGTATACTGTATATTATAGGCAAAGAGAAAAGTTCCTTTAAAAAAAAGTTGCAAAAAAGATTAGTCCCACCACTAGTACAGCAGTGTTTCTTAGCTTATAAACCATACATTTTTTTCAGAAACAAAGCATGAATATTATTTTTCTTTGAAAAAGTGGTTGTTTCAATGTGAATTTATGAAATGAGAACTGGTAACGGGCTTTAAATATGGTCAGGTTAATACTTCTGGTGTGGAATTTCACTACCCACTCACAATGAGGAAACATTCTATAATCGTCTAGTCCTCTGTTGACTAATCTGACAAAATGGGCTAGTAAAAAACATAGAACAATCAAAAAACATCCCTAAGTGCAAGATGAAGTTATACAGTCTACTGCTCTACAGCAGCGTTTCTGAATGGTAATAGAAGACTGTAATAATAATAACAACAGATAACTAGGCTGCCACCTATTTGTGTTATCAGGATGCAGCATATATAATTAGAGTTTAAATTCAACATTTTGAGTTTTGAATTCAAGAGTGGAAACTAAGTAAACACAGAAAAGGCTGAATCTTTTGGAAACTGTTCATAGACAATGATCTCCATCTCCGACTTTTAATTTTAGAGGAAACCCAATTCCCAACTCTTAGAAGAATCAAGATCAGTTCAAAAGCAAAGCATAATTATACTCATTTTCACAGCTTCCTGGTTACCCTAACAAAGCGTTCTATAACATTTTTCAAAGCAAAGGAGGAAACCTAATAACTTGATTACTTCCAACTTGTCTAATGTCAACAGGTTAATTACTATTGTGTTTTAGTTTTGAAACTTTAAAAAATGGCTATCATTTATGAAGTATAGACAACCCATTATACCATAATATGTGCACTAATACTAACAAATATTTCTGTATGACTCAGGGAGAAATATTTCTGATAACTGAATTCAATATGTAATGAATAATAAACAAGGATTAAATTCCCATTGTTCCAAAGCATGTGTACTTTAATAAACATGAAAGCAGCTGCTCAAACCCACATGAAACTGAGTTGTTGAATTTTGATTTGAATGTTGAATTGTAAGAATATCACATTACACATCAGAAACTCCTCTGTGCACTTAGAAAATATGTCACTGATAAACAATATGGACCTGCAGTCTCTCTCACACTATCTTCAAGTAAACTGAAATGTTTCTAGGGCTATGAGTTATTTCAAAATTGTCCAGGATACTTAAAATTCAAGCAACAAAGCCAATGTCAAATAAAGTTTTTTTATAATGCGTGAACCACTCTGAATCACACAGCCCAGTTTCTATGCAAATCTACAGTGAAAACTCCTTTTTAACTGAAGACCAAGCTTAGCAATCAGATATGTTATGCTATCATACAGCAAAAAAGTGTAAAATATACCAGGTTACAATACAGATGGAGATTTTAAAATTACTTTTGACATGGAAGCTCTTCCTGGACACACATTATATTGTTTAAAGTACACTATAGGCCTTTTTTTTTTCTTCTAAAAATTCTTTAGTTACCAAGTCAGCCATACTTCTCAAGCTGAGGTTCTTTCCATGAATAAAGACCTAAATGAGTATAGAAGCAACATATTATTTAAAAAGCATTTCCTCAAAGGAAATTTCA